ATCCTTGCTGGGTATAGTAATCCGGGTTGTAGGTTTTTCACTTTCATCACTTTAAGTATGTCTGACCATTTCCTTCTGGCCTGAAGAGTTTCTATTGATAGATCAGCTGTTATCCTTATGGGAATCCCCTTGTGTGTTATTTGTTGCTTTTCCTTTGTTGCTTTTAATATTTGTTCTTTGTGATTGATCTTTGTTAATTTGATTAATATGTGTCTTGGGGTGTTTCACTTTGGGTTTATCCTGTTTGGGACTCTCTGGGTTTCTTGGACTGGGGTGACTATTTCCTTCTCCATTTTAGGGAAGTTTTCAACTATTATCTCCTCAAGTATTTTCTCACAGCCTTTCTTTTTGTCTTCTTCTTTTGGGACTCCTATGATTCGAATGTTGGGGCATTTGACATTGTCCCAGAGGTCTCTGAGGTTGTCCTCATTTCTTTCAATTCTTTTTTCTTTTTTCCTCTCTGCTTCGTTTATTTCCTCCATTCTATCTTCTTCCTCACTTATCCTATCTTCAGCCTCTGTTATTCTACTGTTGGTTCACTTCAGAGTGTTTTTGATCTCATTTATTGCATTATTCATTATTGATTGACTCTTTTTAATTTCTTCTAGGTCCTTGTTAAACATTTCTTGCATCTTCTCAATCCTTGTCTCCAGGCTATTTATCTGTAACTCCATTTTGTTTTTAAGATTTTGGATCATTTTTATTATCATTATTCTGAATTCTTTTTCAGGTAGACTCCCTATCGCCTCCTCTTTTGCTTGGTTTGGTGGGCATTTATCATGTTCCTTTACCTGATGAGTATTTCTCTGCCTTTTCATCTTGTTTAGATTGCTGTGTTTAGGGTGGCCTTTCTGTATTTTGGCAGTTTGTTTTATTGTGGAGATTCCTCCTGTGGGTTGGGTTGGACGGGTGGCTTGTCAAGGTTTCCTGGTTAGGGAAGCTTGTGTCAATGTTCTGGTGGGTGGATCTGGATTTATTCTCTCTGGAGTGCAGTCAAGTTTCCAGTAGTGAGTTTTGATATGTCTGTGGGTTTGGTTTGACTTTGGGCATCCTGTATGTTAAAGCTCAGGGCTATGTTCTTGTGTTGCTGGAGAATTTGCATGGTATGTCTTGCTCTGTAACTTGTTGGCTCTTGGGTGGAGCTTGGTTTCAGTGTAGGTATGGAGGCTTTTGGATGAGCTTTTATCTATGAATGTTCCCTGGATTCAGGAGTTCTCTGTTGTTCTCCAGTTTTGGACTTAAGCCTCCTGCCTCTGGTTTTCAGTCTTATTCTTACAGTAGCCTCCAGACTTCTCCATCCATACAGCACCAATAATAAAACACCTAGGTTAATGGAGAAAAGATTCTCCACAATGAGGGACACCCAGAAAGGTTAGGTGAGTTACACAGAGAAGAGAAGAGGGAGGTGAGAGATGGAGGTGACCAGTTGGAGAATAGGGGGAATCAGAAGGGGAGAGAGCAATCTAGCCAGTAATGAAATGCCTATGTGCTCTCCACAGCCTGGAACACCCAGAGAGAGGTTCATGGAGTTACATAGAGAAAAGAAGAGGGAGGAAGGAGATAGAGGTGACCCTGAGGAGAAGGGGCGGGTGGGTCAAAAGGAGAGAGACAGATCAGCCAGAGACAGATCAGCCAGTAATCAGTTCCCTAAGTGTTCTCCACAGCCCAGAATACCCAAAGAGATTCACAGAGTTGGGTAGAGAAGTGAAGGTGGAGGGAGGAGACAGAGGTGACCTAGGGGAGAAAAAGGAGAATCAAAAGGGAGAGAGGGCAATCAAGCCAGTAATCACTGTTCTAAGTAAAAATGGGTACTGAAGATTGGGTTCTTAAAGGTACAAAATTGATAACAAATACCAAAAAGCAAAGATTAAAAATTGAGTCCAGATTAGACTCTCAAAAGCACAATATTAAAAAAGCAAAACAAAATCACAAAAATTATAAAAAATAATATGAAGTTTGCTTTAAAAATAGGGTCTTTTTTTTTTGCAAGGTAATATTAGGTTATAAAAATGAAAATTAAAGGAGTAAGAGGACTTAAAATAAAAAAATTAAAAATGATAATAGTAAATTATATGTAGGAATTTCTTTTGGAGCTGTTGTGGGCAGTGTGGGGTCAGTTCAGTTTCAGATAGTTCCTTGTTCCAGCTTATACTTCTCAAGATCTACAGGCCCCTTCTAATGTAATTGGTGCTAACTACAAGGTTTTAATCTGTTGCACTTGTCACTTCTAAAGTGGTTCCCTCTGTTTATTTTGGCTTCTTCTGTTTGCAAGTCTCTTCAGTGTCTAATTTCCACCCTGAAACAAGGGGGTGAAGGTGGTCACTTATTTAGGCTCCCTTGTTCAGTCATGCTGTGGGGAGAGAGGAACACTGCAAACAAATATCACTGGTGTGTGTGGGGAGTGCTCGCAGTGTTTTGGCCACACTGGGTTTGTCCCCACTCACGGAGTGTGTGCTTTCATAGTCTACACTGCTCAGGCTCCAGGTTGCTCTGCAGGGGAACTGTCCAAAGCGGGCCCTGGGTTGCATGCACTTCCCAGGTCTAAGCTGCTCAGGTTCAGGTTCTCGGGTACTCCACAAAGGTGCAGACTTGGCTGGGCCTGTGATTTGTGCCCTTCCCAGGTCCAAGCAGCTCAGATGACCAGGTGCTTGGTGAGCACACATTCCCCAGGTGCAAGGCATCTTATCACCTTCCCCATCCCAGCCACTCAGTTTCCTGGGTGTGCAGTGGGGGCACCGTCTCAGGTGTGCCCTGTGTCTCTTCTGGGGAGCTGATCTCTGGTTGAGACCTTTCTGATGAATGTCAACTGTCCAGGATCCCAGGCAGACTTGGTTAGCAACTAGGAGCCTGCTCAGTTTGGTAGAGGATGCCATCTCTGGGGCCGAGATTGCTCCTTTCCAGCTCTAGCTATTGTCCACCTGCCTCTCTGCCTCCAGCGCGGGATTGGCCGGTCTGCTGCCGGCTAGCTCTCCTCTGGTATTCACTCAGTCCTTTGTTCTGTGAGCAGGCCGGCAGTGCCTAAGGTTAGGGCTTTTTGCGGGAAAGTTCTCTCTCTTTTTTTCTCTCTCTCTCTAGCTGTCCCTCAGTTTGAGTTGCTATCTCACATTAGCTCCCTCAGATTGCCCTCAGGGCATTCAGGCCTGGTCTTTACCCTAAGCAATGCAGCGCTTGCCTCCTTGTTCAGCCCCCGCTTGCTGGTAGTGGATGTGAGCATCTGGGCTACTTCTCCGCTGGGAGTTAGGCATGTAATCTGTGGGTTTTATTTATTTATTTTTCCACCTGGTTATGTTGTCCTCTGAGATTCCAAGACTCCCCACTGACCCGCTGGTGAGAGGGTTTCCTGGTGTTTGGAACTTCTCCTCTTTTACGACTCCTTCCCAGGACTGGTCTCCATCCCTAACTCTTTTGTCTCTCTTTTTTTTTATATTTTGTCCTACCTCCTTTCGAAGACAATGGGTTGCCTTTCTGGGTGCCTGGTGTCCTCTGCAAGTGTTCATGAGTTGTTTCGTGGAATTTTCTCAGTATTCAAATGTTCTTTTGATGAATTTGTGGGGGAGAAAGTGGTATCCCTGTCCTATCTCTCTTTCTTTTATAATCTACTTTACGTCAAGGGTATGCTTGGATCTGATTTTTGTCTTCAGTATGAATAAGATAATGTATTCTTGGTAGGAGATACTGGCTGGCCTTCCTTTGCAAGATAAATTTCAGGGTTTTCAATCAAGGAAAGATGAGTCCCACTCTCCAAGACCAGAGGGAACACCTCATGTGACACAATGATCTTTCTTAGAGTTTGGAATTCAGGTTAATTGCAGTCATCAGAAATTTTCTCAGATATTTCCATTCCAGTTCTAAGCTTCATATATTTTTTTTCAATGTTCTAACTTCAGATAAGAAGTCTACTCTGGATATGAATTTAGCTGACCTTTAGCACAATGAAGGCATGTTTCACATTTTTAACCTTAGAATAAATATGCTTGTTTTTAAATATGTTAAGATTTTCAGCACCAAAAGCTGTAACCACTTCACCCACTGGTGTATGAATTTTTTCATGTCTTTCATACTTGTGCTTGGTTCTCCAAATTGTTACTAATGCTACAATTGAATTGTGCTCAAGCTACATAATTCCCCAGTTTCTGATTACAAAACAATACTCATTTTAAAACATATTTGGTTAATTGATTCATTACAAACTATGATATTTATAAAGATATATTTTTATATAGATAAATATAACATTTCATACTTGAAATCAGTGCATTGAATATGACTTTTCTGTGAAGAACAAAGAGGTGTTAAAAGTTACTAGCATACTGTTGTTATACAGAATCTGTATATTTAACATATTCTATGATTTTGTTCACAATCACTTTCAAGCCTATTAGGTTGTAGATGTTAAAAATCATTCAATATTCCTTTTACAAACTGAGATTTTACTATATTTAGTAGTCTAAATATAGTAACCTATAGTTCTAACATATTTATTAAAAATATTAGCAGTGAATCTTAGATTAACAGATGCATAATTCAGTATTTATAGCTGTAATCAAATTGAATCTGTATTTAATTTGATATAGTCACTTTTGTTATGTCAGTACCTATTTCTATAATGACTGTTCATCTTAAGAATTATATGATTTTCCTATGATTACTTTATAAAATTTATATCTTAATTTTATAGCCATAATTATTTTTTATTTATACTTGCCATTCTGTATTGTCATAGCATATTTATCAACAAAATTTTATTATCCAGCTTCAAAATTTACTTTTAGTCACCAACTTCGTTATATATCATTTACACAGAAAGATAGTACTGTTGTTGCCCCCAAAGATGTGTCCTTCCTTAAGAACCTCAATAATAAAATGGAATTATGACATGTTTAGACAGTGGACCTCTTCGAAGTTTCATCATTTTTTCCTACCCTTTCACTATCTTCTTACCCTCAATTTGTGATGTCCCAAAACTCTTAGATTGCTTTCTTTTTATTTTTACCCTCCAGGTAAAGGTGTTCCATCCACTTCTAATCAGGTAATACAATCATTGTTACATTTGTCTGATAAATGCAAAATATAGACAACTTCATACAAACCTACTTGTAGATCTTCCTTAACATGCAATTTCTGAATGGATTTATCAAAGATTTTCATAGTTTAAATATTAGTCCTGGTAATTCTAATGCAAAAATAGAAAGAAATAAAACAAATAAAAATATTTTAACAAATTTAGGTGATTGGTAAGTTTGTATTGTTTTCTCAAGTTTACCAAAGTCTAATATTTTTATTTTCAAAGCTACTATAACAAAAGTAAATCAAATTTGCAACTACAATCTGACCACCATAAAACATATATTATTTTTTAGCTTTCCACCTTCCCTTTTAATCTTTATGTCCAGGACTTAGCTTTTATATTTATAAACATGGTGGATATCAATCAACAGATGAAAAACACTTATTCTTTTTAATATTATATCACAAACATTTATTGATTTAATTAGCAGTATTTTAATTTTTCTTTCATGGTCCATACAATTGAAAATGTATTTAGATTCTCAATTACATTAATTAAATTTTATCCTATGAAGAATTGTTATGCAATTTGATTAATTATTTATAGATCTGTGATTCTGATTGTTGCATATATTATACCTCAGTATGTGTGACATAAAGTATACAACTACTTTTCTCTAGATGTTCAGGGAGATAACAGTGTCTTGTTATTCTCTTTTATTATTTGCAGTGAAATGAAAACAGAATTAGTGGTAGTTTGAAGCATAGGATATATTGCTAAAATGAAGTCTTTAAGACATCAGGGCTTGGAGAGAGGGCCTTGAATACCTGAGGTGCAAGATCATCATTAGACAAGAAAAAAGGAGGGGTGGCGGAGTATACAGTTCAAATCTGATGATTGACTCTAGATCCTTGATTTCTTTTTTCTTTGTATTTGCAGGAAAATGAGAATGTCAGTGGGTGTGAAGAAGTATGTTACACTGTCATTAATCACAGGCCCTATCGGAGACCCTCCCTGAACTCCAATGATGATGGTTATGAGAATGTCGCAAAGAGAGTGAGACCATTAAAGGAAGGGCCAGAAACAGAATATGCTCTTCTCAGGAAACCTTGCACTATTAGGTCTTCTTCCTGTACAGCTGAGAATGATTACGAAATTGTGCTTCCTCAATAGAATACTCCTGCCTCATCATCTTCCAGTAATAAGGATGACCAAATGGTGACCTCCAGGGGAGTCTTTCTCTTTCAGCAGTACAGCAACTTTTACTTCTGGCCAGACTTTGTAAATGGTATTCTTTCACTGTACCACATTAAGAAACTGAAATATCTCATCAACGTGGTTTGGGTAAAGCCACATAAGTTGATATAATGATATAAAGTATTAGACCTCTTTTTCTTTGTAAGGTTTGAGGATGTGGAAATTGTAGGGGGGGTCCTCCCTAGAACAATAAACATCTACACATATGTGACTTAGAATATCCAACTCCAATTCTACTTTCCAAATTTCAGAGGCCAGCATTCACAGTCCTAATTATTTATTTCAACTTTGAGGTGTAATCTACTCAATAAATTCTTAACATAATAAGACCAGTGACCAGAACTTTTGCTAACTGAATATTTACTTCAATTTTGCCTTTTCTGCATACTGGAGATTTTGCATGTAAATTTGTGGTAGCAGTTTAAGAATTAACAGGGTTTGATACTGGCCTTTCTAAGAGGAAAGGCTGAGTGCAATTTTAAAAAAGGAATGAGGTTTAGTAGCCCAGTGTCTTTCTTTCTGATAGTCAATCAGATAAATTTGTTCAAAGTTTACTAAAAACTGAAAGCATACTTGTACTTACAGTTTTGTTCACAATATACTAGTTAATTTAAATGCTAGTTATTTTTAATGAAGAAGGAAAAATAGTGTCTGGTTTTAAAAATCAGGCAAATTATTAAACAACCCATTTATTTTTACTTTCATTCTCAAGGAGAGTCTAAACAACTTGCCAACTTCCCATTGAGGACATAAAGTACATAACTGAAAAAACATCAATAATTAATTTTTATATAGCTACAATATAGTGACCTTTTAGGTTACTGGCAAGGATAAATCAATAGATAGATGTCAGCTAACTTTCTGTTTTGTTTTTCATATTTTTTAATTAAAATGACATGTGCTGTAGGAAGGAATCTCATTTCTAGTTATCAGTTTAATACTAGACTTAATCTAAAATAATGTCTGTTATTCTTCTATGCACATTAATTTCTAACAAAAGGTAAACTGAGACGCTTCTCTACACTGGAGCTCCTTTACTGCCTCCTCTATAGAACTACCTGGAAGAGAGTGGGTAGACAGAGAAAATGGACAAATTAACAGAATGTAATAGCTCAGGTCAAAATATAACTTACCTTATTTATTAGGAATGATCTCATATAATAGAAGATACAGATAATTACCATTTATGGAGCATTTTCTAGGTTCTAATTGTGTAACTTATTGGTTTTATACAAATTTTGACTCCCTATTCTTGGTAAATTCTTGTGTTCCTTTGAAGAGATTTCAATGTGTGGAAGTAGAACTTGACAGAAATCTTATAGTTCTGGAAAAGTCACCCTGTCTGAAATATGTAGAAATATTGTAGAAATCAGTCAACTTTCAGAGATGACAAAAGTGTTTTTTATTGTAGAAATTAGTCAACTTTGGGAAATGACAAAATTGTTTTACCTTGTAGAAATCAGTCAGCTTTAGGAAATGACAAAATTATTTTTTCTCTGTATGCTTTTGTAGTTCTTTTTCACATGTAATAAATACTATATTCAAGATAATGACTTATTTTAATATACTTAATAATATGGAATTATAGGAGAAGGGGCAGTCAATAGGACAATGAATATTACTGTCTAGTAAAAGAAATATAGAAATCTAAAAGCATAGATGTGACCTGGTTGTAAATCATACCCTATTTCTTGTGGAGATTCAGTATTTGCTTTTAATGTATAATCTGTCTTTCGTTCAGCATAATGAATGTTTCACCTTGTAGTTGACACTTTTATTAGTATATTACTGAATGAATAACTCATAATTTTTAATCTAATTATTTGCTGATGGGTATGTGAGGCATTTACAGTTTTGACATTATAAATAAAGCTGCTATACATCTACTTGAGTACTCAGATGTATTGGTTTGCTAGGGTTGCCAATATATCACAGTCAAGGTAGCTTCAATAACAAAATTTTATTTTTTCACAATTCTGGAGGCTGCAAAATTCAAGATCAAATTGTAAGCCAGAGGTTTTCTGTTTTTCCAAGACCTGTTTTATGCCTCTTTCCTAGTTTCTGATGACTTATTGTCAATCTTTGGGATTTGAAGACTTATCAGTAAGACCTTTATGTCTCAAGAATAGGAAATAAGTTTTACTAAAATTCAGTGATTTTCTATGTATGTTAGTGAAATATCTAGGCGTCTAGTGGTATGGGGATGTTGAGATATTATTTCTGAGGTAAATAATAAATTGTTGCATCTGGCTGCTACTGTAAACAAAAAAGAGATCCAATGCCTGTGGAATTTTGAAGACACAATATTTGTGGATTTTGCTAATAACATACACTTTATTTGGATTTGCAGCTCTTGTCTGTTTATGGAGTGACCTGAAAAGTTGCTAGTTTTTAGTGGGGCCCAAGACAAGTGACAGTTCTGCATCAGGTTCAGGCTGCTGTCCAAGTGCTGTGCCACTTGGACCTTATGATTCAGCAGATCCAGTGGTGCTTGAAGAGTCAGTGGCACATAAGGAAATTGTCTGGAGCTTTGGAAAGTTCCTATAGGTAAATCACAGGGAAGGCCCTTAAAATTTTGGATCCATCCTCCAAAGATCATTACTATCCTTTTGAGAAATAGCTCTGAGACTAAAGGTTTAATCATGGGTCACCAAGTTGCCTTGCAACTTGAGTTGCCCATCATCAACTGTGTCATTTGACCAAGCCATAGAATTGGGCACACATGATAACATTCCATTATATATACCACTTCCAGTGGGCCAAGCAAGCCCTGAAGGCACAAATAAGTTACATGAAGAAGTGGCCCAAATGCCCGTGGTTCCCATTCCTGCTATAGCACTTTCTTTCTCCCAACCTGTACCTATTGCACCATGAGAAGTTTTCCACAATCAGCTGACAGGAAGAAAGACTCATCTGGTTTACAGATGGTTTTACACCTACACAGGTATTACACCTAAAATGGAAAGCTCTTGCTCTACTGTTCCTTTCTGGAACATCCCTGAAGAACAGTGCTGAAGGGAAATTCTTCCTGGGCAGAACTTCAAGAAGTGCAAATGGTAATTCATTTTTCTTGGCAGAAAAAATGGCCAGGTGTGCAACTGTGTACAGATTCATTTGCTATGGCCAGAGGCTTAGTGAATGGTCAGATATTTGGAAGGGACATGATTGGAAAATTGGTAAAGAGGCCTGGGGAAAAGATATGTGGTTAGACCTCTCTTAACATGTTAAAAATATGAAGATATTTGTGTCCTATGAGAATGCTCACCAAAGTGTGACCTTAGCAGAGAAAGATTTTCATAATCAAATGGATGGGATAACCTGTCAGCCTGTAGATACCTATCAGCCTGTTTCCCCAGACCTATCATTGCTCAGTGGGCATATGAACAAACTGATCATAGTGGCAGGGATAAGCTTTATGTTTGGGCTCAGCAACATGAACTTATACTCACCAAGGACTACCTTGTTATGGTCACTGCTGATGGGCCAACTGTCAGCTGCAGAGTCCAACACTGAATCCCTGATATAACACTATTCCTGTGCTGATCAGACAGGTACCTGGTTGTTGTTATTCAGTAGCTAAGTCCTGGCAGATTCTGTATGACCCCATGGACTACAGCATGCCAGGCTCCTCTGCCATTCACTATCTTCTGCTGCTTATAAACTCTCACTTTTGAGTTTGCTCAAATTCATGCTCAATTGATTTGATGATGCTATCTGACCATCTCATCCTCTAACACACCATTCTCTTTTTGCCTTCAATCTTTCCCAACATCAGGGTGTTTTGTATCACTCCCATTAAGGAAGGACATTATTTTTGTTTTTAATGAAATAGGCACTTTTTCTGGACGAGGTTTTCACTCCTTGAATGCAATACTTCTGCCAAATGCACCAACAGTAGTACCAACAGTGGAAGGCCTTATCAACTGTTATGTTACTCTTCTACAAGAGCATTGCTTCTGATCAATGAACTTACTACACAGTGAAAGAAGCATGGCAATGGGCCCATGATTATGAAAATCATTGCTCCTACCATGTTCTCCTGAAGCAGAGGGCTTGATAGAACAGGGCAATGATAATTTGAAAACTCAATTATAGCACCAGTTCTTTGGCAAAATGTTGCTTGGTTGAGGCCAGGTTCTCCTTGGCTGTGTACGCTCTGAATCAGTGGCCACTACCTGGTGCTGTTTCACAGGTCCAGCAATCAAAGGGTGAACACGGGAGGGGCGCCCCTCACTATTGCTTCTAGTGACACATTAGCCAAATTTTTGCTTTTCGTCCTCAGAAACTCATGCTCTGCTTGCCTAGAGATCTTACTTCCAAAAGGAGAAGTATGTAGACCAGGAGAAACAATAATGAACCCGAAGTTAAGACTGCCACCTAGCCATTTTGGGCTCATACCACCTGATCAACAAACAAAAGGAAATTATTTTCCTGGTTGGGGTAACTGACATGAACAACCAAAGGGAAATAAATTGGGCTGGTCGTCTACAACAGAGAGAAGGAAAAGTATGTCTGGAATCGAGGGTATCCCTTAAGGTTCTCCTAATGCTACCATGTCGTATGACTAAGGTCAGTGGAAAATTACAACAACCTAACTCAGGTAGGACTACTAATGTCCCTGCCACTTCAGGAATGGCTTGGATCACCCCACAAGGTAAAAAACCCACAACTATCTGAGCTACTTGCTGAGGGCACAGGAAATATGTAATGTGTAAAGAAAGATGATAATAATCCAGCTACAACCATGTGACCAATTACAGAAATGAGGATTGTAATTGTTGTATTTCTTTTATGTTGCTATGCATGTGTTTGTGTTTATGAATTATATCATAAGTATATTCACACACACACATATATATATAAACCTGTAAATGTACAGTATATAAACATTTTACATATTACATATACATGTACATTTATATTAAGCAAATGTCTTTAAATCTTTCCTCTCATTTTCTTATCATGAAACATAAAATGTATTGACTTTCCTTATATATACATACATACACATATATACATATACATTTTAACTTTATATCATAGTATTTAAGTTACAGAATATCAAACAGAAGAGTGAATCTCATCCAAGGACTTTGCATTCTTTTTTGGGGAGAAGATTAGTATACCTTTGGGTATACAAAAGATGAGCAGAGGGGCTTCCCTGGTGCCTCAGTGGTAAAGAATCCACCTGCCAATGCAGGAGACATGGGTTCAACCCCTGATCTAGGAAAATCCCACATGCTGTGGAGTTGCTTAATCTGTGTGGAGCACCTAAGCCTGTGCGCCACAACTATTGATCCTGTGCTCGAGAGCCCAGGAGCCACAACTCCTGAGCTCACGTGCCACTGCTAAAGCCCACGCCCTAGAGCCTGTGCGCCTCAACAAGAGAAGTCTGCAACGAGAAACCTGCATACCACAGCTAGAGACTAGCTCTGCTCACCACAGCCGAAGAAAAGCCCATGCAGCAACAAAGACCCAGCACAGCCAAAAGTAAATAAATAAAATTTTAGAAAAAGATAAGGAAAGGTATAATTTTGTTCTTTCTCTTTTCTTTTTTTTAACTAATTTCTCAATTTGTGTCATTCACAAATGATATTTCATCCTTTCTTCTATAAAGTAAACATTTAAGATCATAAATTTAAAAGTATTGTTTAAGCTGTATTCTACATATCTTAAAACACATTTCGACAACTGTTCAGTTTTTAATATTTTCTGTTTTTACTACGTTTTGGGTTGTAAGTTATTTAAAAGCACATTCTCGATTTATAGTATCAGTTTTTTTTTCTTTTTTCTTTTTGTTAATATTTTCTAATTATTGTTGTTGGCGAAGGATGTCTATATAATGCTAGATCTCTGAAATCTGTCAAAAATTGTTTCATGATACAGTAAGTGGAAAAGTTTTGAAACTATATCATAGTGAGCTAAAAAAATAATGTAACTTTGGTTCCATTTTGTATATACTGATTAGATATAAACAGTTAATCATGTGGTTTAAATAGCCTATCTTCATTTTTTTCCTTTAAATGTGATAATTATTGAGAAAAAAAATGTGTTTAACATATCCTACTATGGTGGTAAATTTGTCAGTTTCCTTGCATTCTATACCATATTTAGTTATATATTTTGAAAGATGTTATTAACTTCATGCAAAGTTTAGAATTGGTACCTCTCCTTGTTATCCTCTTATATATCCTCTTTACTTAAGCTTTATTTTTTCTAATATTAATAAAGCCATATCAGTTTTGTTTTGGTTATTATTTGCATGACTCAATTATCTTCTTCTATCCTTCTTCCTCTCAACTTTTCCATGTCCTTATATGTTAGATGCCTCTTTTAAATAGCTTAGCTCATAGCTAAATATTGTTTTTCTAGTCTAGTCAGCCTTTGACACTTTCTTATTTATTTAAATTGAGATATAACATTGTATTAGTTTTAGATATAAAATAATGATTTAATATATGTATATACAGTTAACATCCATCATCACTCATAAGTACACATTGTTTTTTCATGATAAGAACTGTTAAGATTTACTCTCTTAGCAACTTCTAACAACAGTATAGTCACCATGCTGTTATTACACCCTCAGACCTATTTGTCTTTTAACTGGAATTTTGTATGTTTTAAGCACTTTTACCCATTCCACCCTGTTATTTTTTTTATTTGCAGATTTAGTACTGTTTAAGAAGATGTGTATGGATGCCACATAAGCAAAGGGTGGACTGAAACTTGTCTAGGCTGGTCAAGCAACCATCTAGATGTTGTGATTTTTTTTTTTTTAGATGTGATTATCATTTAAGTGGGTAAATTTTTAGTAAAGTATATAACCCTTTACTGGCTTCCCTTGTGGCTCAGCTGGTAAAGAATCTGCCTCCAATGTGGGAGACCTGGGTTTGATCCCTGGGTTGGGAAGATACCCTGGAGAAGGGAAAGGCTACCTACTCCAGTATGCTGGCCTGGAGAATTCCATGGACAGTCCACGGGGTCGCAAATAGTCACACATGACTGAGCGACTTTCACTCACTTCACTTAACCTATTATAATGTTGTATGGGCATCATCTAATCAACTAAAAGCCTTAATTAAAAAAGACTGATATAAACCAAGAAAGAAAGAATTCTTTCTAAGATTGCAACATAAAAGTCTAGCCTAAATTTCCAGACTCCTGTCCTACAGAATTCAGATTCAAGATGCAGCTTCAATTCTTACCTGAATTTTCAGCTGTCAGGCCCACTTAGAAATTTCAGGCTTATCAATCATTACTTTTGTGTGAGAAAATTCTTTCTCTGTCTCTCTATGGACAGATAGATAGATAGGTAGATAGATATAGATATAGATATATTTTTTGTATTGGTCTGTCTCTGTGGAAAACTCTGCCTAGTAATCATTATCTGTTCATCAATGTATCTTAGGTATTTGAGCTTTAAAAATAAATCTCAGAGACTTCCCTGATAGTCCAGTGGTTAAGAATCCACCTTGCAATGCAGGGAACATGGTTTCATCCCTGGTCGAGGAACTTTGATCCCACACAGCAACTAAGCTTGTGTGCCACAGCTAGACAATCTGTGCAGTGATGAAACGAAATTCATGTGAAAGGAATTCACAACTGCTGAACAACCATGAGAAAATCTATCAAAAAAAGATACCCCACATCCAAAGAAAAGAGGAAGCCAGAATGAATCAGTAAAAGGGGTGTGGTCATAATAAACTCAAATCCCATACCCAGCAGGTAAGCGACCCACAAACTGAAAAATAATTATACCACAGAAGTTATTCCACAGGAGAATTCTGAGCCCCATGTCAAACTTCCCAGCTGGCGGTCAGGGAATGGGAGGAAGAGTCCCCAGAGAATCTGAATTTGAAGACCACTGGGGTCTGATTGCAGGACTTCCACAACACTGGAGAAAACAGAAGCTCGACTCTTGGAGGGCACACACAAAGTCTTGTGCACGCTAGGACCCGGGGCGGGGGGGAATTAGTGAAACCATAAGAGACTAGGCAAGATCTCCTTGGTAATACTGAAAGGTCTGCAGAGTTTGGGGTGGCTGTGGCTCACTTCAGGGATGAAGACACTGGAAGGATCAGTTCTGGGAAGTACTCATTGGAGTCAGCCCT